TGTTGCGTCAGCGAGTCACATGACCACGTGACGCAACGTTTCTAGAACTATCATGTACTTTGGCGAATGTTCTACTTCTTGCTAGAAATAGGTTACGCTGGTATATAAAAGATGGGAATGTAATGTGTAGATAGATAGTGAGTAATTGAACTGCAGTCACACGGTATTGTTGAAGATAACGTTCGTTCGTTACAGTGTTGTTTTAGCGCGAGTATTGAGATTAAGTGTATCGCAGACTTATATTCGGAAAGAATAAACCAGTTTTATTAAGTAAAGGCTTGTGTCGCGTAAGTTTCGTCGGTACGAAGTTACGGAAAATCAGTTAATTAAAAAACGGAGACGTAACATTATCCTCAAAGGAGCGCTCATAGTTACTACCGTCAAATATTTGTTCTTAATTTTGTTTAGAATTAGATGCATTGTAACAAAGATAAGCAATTGTATAAAGATATTCTAAAATTAAAAAGAAGTGGTTGGCCGGGGACTATATTACTTTGAACTTCTTTTAGATCTCCTATTTTCGTCTTTCAGTGTTCGTTGTAAACTTACTGGAATTATACATGTCGATGTTTATCTCTGACCATCTTCCTCACTACGTATCAGAAATGTTGTATTTGTGAGTTTTATTTGGGGGGAGGGATATTAGAAAATATAGAAGTAGTTATGTATAAGAGTGATGTCCTTGTCATTAAAGAAAGAAAAATTAATCTCTTAATAACAGAAGAGAAAAAAGAAACTATGTGGGAACATGCTTAGTTTTTTCCAAACTTTACCATGAACGTGTTTATCACAATATTTCTTGATTTAACCTTGTCACTTTGTCGCCAAAGTAACTGTACAAAGCTATGAAATATTTATATAACATATTATATCAGTGTTGTTAGTCGTCTGGTTGTCGCGAAGAGAAACTTGCTGACGAATGAGATGAATCAACACGATATCGTGTTGATATCTAAATGTAAGAGTTAATATCTTGACAGCTTAAGGCTTAACCATCGCGTGAAACCATAGGCCTTTTCTGATAAATCATCGGTAGTTTAAGTGTCAGAACATTTGTAAAGCAGGCAACACAGACAGAAAAAAAAATTAGACTAACGAGTTTAATAACTAAATGTCATGTTATTAAGACTTAAAAGCTAAAACGCAGATGTTTATTTAGCGGGATTGATTTTCTATGATTTTTTTAATAAACATGATAGCACGAGCCCAAAACTTAAATTATTAAGCACTGTATGAGTTGTTAATTTCTGTTTTTAGCGCCATCTGCAACATATAAGGTATGCTACGTTGATTTACACAGTTTTTGTTTCTTGGAATATACTGCTTCATAGTACCGCAGCTGTTTATATAATAGATGAGGAAAATGCTTAGTAGACGCTTTAGAGATCTAACAATACCCGTTGCCCAAGATTAAATATCCAAATTACTCAACTCTATTAGAAATAGAAATTTTCTTTCTATCTATTTATATATACACATGTGATACATTAGGGAACAACACATCTGGTTTGTTTAGTTCAGTGTTAATGAGCTGATATTCTTCAATGAGATCCAAGCTTCAACCTATTTGGCAATAATTAAGTCCTCTGTTGACAATTATAATTGTAAAAAAATGACTGTTACATAGTTTTTGTGGGGAAATAAATAAATAGCTAGGTATATAAATAAACGTATAATTAAAAACGCGGAACTCTGCAAGCATGTATACACATAAGTAGCTATTATTATTATTATTTAGAATTTTTCCCTCCCAGAAATTTCTTTATCTTTGCAACATAATAGATGTATAAGGTTGTTACATAAACAAGTACACCAGACTATTAAGTTAATACATCGCGTTGTCATATATTATCAATCTTATATATGTAGGCTAACGCTTTCGTCACTTGGACGATTGACGAGCATGTGCAAAGTGGATACAAATAGCCGACGATATAATATAGTCTGAGACTCTAAGAATGAAGTCAGTGCAAGTACAATTGACTTCTATATGTCAGTATGACTCGCGCTAGTCAGAACATCCACTCTTCATCAGCTTATTTCAATTGAAAACACATTTGCGAGAATACTAATGAAAAGTTTTTACTTATTTTTTCGTCACGTATAATTTTTAACTATTCTGTTATATTTACATGCCACATGATACTTCTTGGACATGTTACTTTTTGATGCCTTATCTACCTCTACATTATATCTTATAACTAGTAAATATGATTTTTAGTCTTCACTGTTCAGCCACTATAGGCTTCTCAGTTAAATACGTCATTAACTCGTTACAGAAAATTATAAATAATTAATTTAAAACACGTGAACAATTAATACCCATATCTCCAGTAAACTTATGTTTGTGATGTAACTATACTAATTAACAGTCAATTTTGGAACCGGAATTTTAAACTTGAAAACCACTTTATGCACATGTGGGCTAAACGTCTAGGTCAGACACCACTAAGATTTAAGAATAGCCATCCTTAATTTTGAACAACTGATCAGAGGAAAAGGCAGCCCACAACATTCACCGCCACAGAACTTTGTCCGATTAATTAAATAAAATAATGGGATTTACTGTTCATTTCATAACATGCCCAAAGCTGAAATAGAGGACCATATTCAGCCATATCACGTCTCAAACCCTGAACCCTTCGATCCGCAATCCAGCACACTAGTCACGCCTGGCCACTGTACTAATTTGTGAAAACTTCTGTGTGAATGAAATGCGCAGTTTAATGTGAGCGTTTCAGTTTAAGGGTAATTTAAAAACATTAACCTTCATTATTACGATTCAAATTAAAACAAACAAACAGAATTTTCAACAAAATATTTGATACTAAATAACTTTTAAAATACATCCAACTGAAAACGTTTAAGGATTTCTTTGCAGCCAAATCATTTTTCCTATTAATTCGAGACTAGTTAAACTTGATGCAAATTATTCTAAGGCTGCTCTTCTCTATTTCTTCACGTAACTAAATGTGGAAGTTAAGCCTAACATCTGATATTTGGGTTTTTCTAGTATAAGACACCGTTGTTACAAAACCTAATAAGGAAAACTGAGATTTCACAACATTTGAAACCTACTGGCTCATTAGTAACTTGGTACGCGGTAAAGTTTTTACTTCTTCAGAAAAAGGGGAGAAAATTTATAAAGGGGTTTCAGCCATGAACAATTTTGATATAACATTAAGGAAAATCTCATGAACAGCCATTGTGAAATGTAAATTTTATTTAAAGTTCAGAGAACTTGCTGGGTAATTATCAAGCATTTGTATTATTAAAAAAAGAGAAAAAAATGGTTACCCTCAACTGTTTTGAAACGTCTTTCATTGCACATGTGCTTGCTCTCTATTATTTTGAAAACCAAACAAGTTTGAAATCATACTATTTTCGGAAAGAGCCAAATAACATATATATGCACACAAGCTTGTAATAAAGGTATAGATTGAATTGTGGCTGAAGGCTGCCATGAAAGCGATAAAATGAGTTTCAATTTATGAGTAGAACAACTACTTATTGGGGTGTTGTACTCAGTTACATTGTCATTTGGAAACTAATCTGTTTATATTTAAATTACGTGTATCTAGAAAGGGATCCATGACATTTTAACTTGCTAGAAAGAACTCTCGCGTATTGTCAAACATGAACTCATCGAAATAATTTTATGGAACAGAAAACATATTTGTCAAAAAAAAGAACAAGTTTTATGCTGTTAGGCAAAATAACATAAATGATGTCTAATCATCATTAAAAATTCTATACAGAGTACAGGAGGAAGTACTGGAGAAGAAGATGAGGATGAGCTCTCAGTGTCTGCAGAGACAAAACAGAATACCTATTACAATGAAAGCCCATCAGAAAAAGCCATTATCAGGCAAAATGTCAAGGTTAGTTTTAAGCTTACATTATAACCAATTCTCTGACGACTGCTGGGAGAAAAGTCTCGGGACTTAGTTATTATTGAAATTTTATTGATAAAATATGCTATTATTACGCATTCTTACTTACGATAAAATCATTACTTTTTCTTCTATAGTTTATACTCTTTAGATAAATAAATCGAATATCTTTACTGACGAATCATTTATTTATTATTTTTACCGATTGCAGTAACACCCAGTGTCCAAACCACCCTCACCGACAATCTAAGTATCATTTTTTCTGTCCCTTTTGTGTTGATGGGCACGGAAATTATTATGAACAGTCAAATTATTAGCATATTTGATCATTGTACGTTATAGCCAATTCATAATTGATCTATTCATAATTTGAAATAATATCACCAGTTAAAATTTTGTCATACAACTCGTTTCTTATTAGGTGATAAAAGATATTTTCATTTTTAATCAAACCTAGTGAAAACAGGTGTCTTTTTCAAATTTATAGAAAAAATAAATGTAATTAAAACTTAAATTTTTTATCTTTATCAATTTATTCTTTCACAGTAATTACCCATTCGTATGTTATTTAATTATAAGTTTAGCTTTTGTACAACTTACTTTAAAAATCGTGTACACCATAGCAATGAATCATAGTACGTTCCTTTGATTCATGTAAGCAACTCCTATTTATATTTAATCAATAGTCCACATTGGAATGAGTCTCACGGCTACTTCACTATACCTGTATAGTAAACTGACTTGTATCTTGATGATTTTTTTTTAAACACTGTCCGTTTCAGGCTTATTGTATTGCTGATTTTATGGCTAAACTCTAAAGCAGTGCTTCCCAGACTGTGTGCCGCGGAATTTTTGCAATTATTAAGTAATTTTTATTTAGTAACTATAAAGTTATTATCAATTTAATAAATTTTTAAAATTTCATTTATTTGCTCCTCGATACACAGTATAACATCAATTTCTGGTTGTCTTAGTCAGAGGAGTGCCACTAGGCCTGCCATACAAACTTATTTACATGTGCCGCAAATAGTTCAGGACATTAAAAGTGTACCGCTAGCTGAAAAAGTTTTGGAAGCACTGCTCTAAAGGTCACTGAATTAGTGTTCTAGAGTGAAATTTCTCCCGCTAGAGGAAGGTCTTAAAAACCTTCATTAGTGACAAAAATATAATATTGTTGCGTCAGCGAGATCACGTGACTATTCTCACGCCCTCTGCTTTCTAGAACTATCCTGTACCTTGG